AGGGAAAACAAGGGATGTTTGCCCTATAGAGATGCTTCGGATCAATATAGAAACTATAGGAAGCTGGGAAAGGTTCAGAAAATATAATTTCTGTGTAATTTGTTTCGGGGTGAGAAGAGAAGCAAGCAAAACTTCCCGGATTCCCTTTCTGATCTATATATCAGTCTACAGGTGAGAGAGTGACAGTAGCTCAAGCCAGGGGATGCAGCCACTAAGGCAAAGCAGGGCTTGAAACCCGCAGGGCAGGAGGCTCTTGCAGAGACCCAAGGTGCTTTCAAGTCCCAAGGTCTTGGGCTCTGCTCTCGACATTTCCAATTATAAAGGAATTTATAAGCTTTTAACACAGCCAACATCCTCCCTGCCGGTGCTCTTGTTTCATCGGGAATTTCAAGCCCTCTTGTGCCCGGGAATTGCTAGCAATAGCTTGTACCTGTCTTCCCTCAAATTGTTTTATGCAGAGAAATGGTCTAAAAGCGCAGCCAAGTCTTGCCTGCCACAGCATGATGATGCACCGCTACTTTCCTTGAATTTAAGGCCCCCACGTTCTGCGTGGGGATGGAGAGCTGGTTCTAGATAACTGCGTAGCAATAAATTACGCAAACGGTTTCAGCTGAGAGGCTGAACAGCTTGAAGGCTTATAGAGAAGAATGATTCTCTATTTTTTTTCCAGTTGCTACACTAACTGCGCAGGAATTCCTAGTTAAAAATAATTCACCTTTTTTTGCTGGGAGTTTTTTACACATCTATTTACATCACGCAAGGTTTGTGATGCGACGGAAACAGTAAGGCAGCAGAAAAATGAAAATCATTTGGTACAGCACACTGAAATCCTGCTGCGTAGTTGGAAACGTAACTGCATCACACTGTGCATTTGGGCATCGGAAATCTATAAATGCTTTAATTGATTTTTTTTCTTTTTAATAGATTCTGAGGAACGCATCGATAAGCCAGACCAGCTATTTTGAAATACCTCAGTAATATGTTAGATCGATACCTGCTGGTGGAAAAACTGGCATTAAGATTAGGAGATGGACACACTTACCGGTTTTCTTCTCAACATAGCGCTTTCCAGCCTCCCTAAACGCCACCATCGCCCTGAAAAACGCCCTGAGGACCGCCCAGCGGAACACGGCCACCGGGTCGATCCCTATCATGCCGCAGATGAAGGCATTTTTGCTGCTCCTCAGCAGAGCGACAATGTCCGGCCGCATATGATCCGTGTTTTTCTCGCGGAAATCCTAGTGAGGAAGAAAAGAGGAACCCATAAGCAAGAGGGGCGAGATGGCCTGAGGTGGATCTGCACACACACAGATGCATCTTCAGACCCAAATTCAAGCAGCAGGCACATAAATGGGGACAACTCTGAAATAACTTGCATGGGATTTTCCAAAGCTTCTACATCAAAGACCTGCTTAAGGAGCCCCCTGCTTAAGTAACTAGGATATCTCAGTACTAAAAAAGACAATGATGGAACAGTGAAGATCTCCTGTAGGATCCAGAGCCCAGAAACACTTTGCCACTTCAGGTTAACCCTAAGCATGTAATACCAAATCACAACATGGGAGCTTAGCATCAATCAATCTTAATTTTAGTTCCTTTAATTTGTCCCAGTATAGCAGAGTAAACGGTTTGTAACTGGGAAAAGAACATTAAGATACAACACTACCTGGGAGGAGGAGAGAGGAAGAGGAGAAGAAGAAAGGGAGGAGGAGAGCACTGGTCACATGAGTGGGTCATGTTGTAAATGAAAGCAGCAACGAACCTTTACTCCGTATTTCACTTTGCCCGCGTAGTGTTTGATGATGAAAGCCGGTTCCATGACCGCTGGAAACTCAATGTAGGAGTTGCCTTCGTGCTGCCGCTTGAACTTGTCCAGCAGCGTCTGGTTCGTGGCTTGGGGGAAACTGGTTAGAAAGAGGGGAAGAAGAGGTCAGCTATGAATGTGAAAGAAAAAGGAAAACTCCACTGCAAATAGGAAAACAGAACTTGCCTGAGCTTCCACTTCTGCACCTAGAATATTCAATGAATATCGATCCAAACTGAACTACACTATCAATGCTTTTATATTTAAATATACAGACACATACATATATCTATATATGCTCATATGCTCAGCCCCACATCTGTGAGATACTCTTATAGCTAGGAAATAATACCTGTTTTATCTGCAAACGTAATTTCAAGGTGTTACCTGCCTAAGAGGAGTGTTCAAGAGGAGGAGGAGGAGGAGGAGGAAGAGGGACAAGGGGAGCTGAAGCACAGCAGGAAGAAGCCAGTCCTTCATCCTTAAGCTTCCCACAAATCTTCTGCAGCTTGTGAGTGCGCTTCCCATTCCCTGCTCTACTTCCAAGGTCATTTTTAGTGTGGGGGGGAAAAAGACATCAGGACAGAGAAGCACCTCAGGTTGCTTTAGCCTAGCCCAGCATTGAAGATATAGCTCACTGCAGTCAACTCAGCTTCACTTCAAGCATCTTCTCTTTTCCTTTGGTGGCCAGGAATACAAGGGGAATAGTAAAGCAAGGGAAAACCTTTGCCCATCCCCATCACGGCAGGAAGCCCAGCACCAAACTTGAATAATTATTAGTCAGGCTGTTCGGCTTTGCTTTTTCCTTCCCTGCCATCCGCTCCATCTGATGGGAACCAAAAGGTCAACCGAGCAGTCCAGCACGATAAATCAACCCGGCCAACGTTGCTGCAGCCGTTGCAGCTCCCACTTACTTGCTTTCCTCGTCCAGCAGATGGAGCAGGCCCGTTGGCTTCTTGCTGATGAGGTTTATGCAGCCGGAGTTGTCTATGTAGTCTATGTTGTGCCAGCTAATGCCTTCTGCTCTATATTCCTCCTAAGATAAAAATGGGAGAAAAACAACACATAATATTTGGTGCAAGTGTAACAACATGCAGAAGCTTTGCAAAAGGAAGAAAAAAATCATTTAAAGTAATAGAAAGACAAAACAGAAGAAAATGTGGATCCTGAAGGGACCATTTTTTTTTGTAGGTAGCTGCACACAAGAGCCGGTAGCGCAGCTTGCATGATCACCAGGAACCAAAACGTTCAGACAATATGTGATAAAAAAACAAGCTGGTGAAATAATTCCATTTACTTATGCAGAGGAGTCAAAAAATGATGCGCCTCCCTAGATGCAACTCAAAATCCCCAATGAAGCCACTCAGAAAATCCAGATGAGCGGCGCCACTTACCATCGAGCATTACTGTGGCCAGCTGACTGATTAAGAGGCCCTTTGGTAAAAATATGACTATTATGACTGGTAAAGCAGCTCACCTAGTTTTTATCATGACCTTTTTTGAACTACTTGTATCCCATGGTGGGAGCTTTGCACTTTTATTTTCCCCCACCCCAAAACCCATCACCTAGAGTTCAATGTCTACATAAATTTGAACCTGGCAGGCAGCTTATTGCTGTTTTAGAAGCTTTCTAGAAGCATTTCTCCTGAACGCATTGGCCAAATACAAATAGGCACTTAATTTTCCATGCTGCAACGACTGCCTCTCTGCAGTGCTTTGGAGATAGCCTTAGAAGTTACGTCCAACCTACTTCATACTGAGCGAGCTCAACCAGCCACTGCGGAGCCGCGCGCTTCAGCCCAAGGGAACTCCTTGGACCTGCTCTCACGGGTCTTGTGGACAATAGCAAACAGCCATCCCCTCTGAGCTGCTCTTGTTGTCTCCTGGCACTGCAGCCCCTGCCCTGGTTTCTGAGCAGAAGATGACTCAAGGTTGCTCTTCCCAACGCGGTACCTCCGCACGCAACATGGAACTTATTGAGGAGCAGCCATGGGTGAAGACTGGAGGAAACTCTTCCAAGGCAGCAGCACTCCCTGCACCTTGCCTAGGAGCAGAGCACTTTGGAGAAGCGTGAACAGAGCTCCAAGGGGCAGCCGAACAAACCTCACAGCCTGAGCCCTACATCAACGGGTTTAGACCTAGGTGAACTGGCCAGAAAAGGCTGAGACCATTTGGGGAAAACGCCTATCATCTTTCCTGATCATGAAGCTGGAACCATATCTGACAGTAGTTGGGGAGCAATTGACCCTGGAGCAGAACTTTTTGTACATCTGTCGATACCAGCAGCAAGGAGATGATGGGCAAGGCATGGTGAGGCCCCCAGGTGTGAGAACATCTGCAGCAGTCGGCCCTGGCCCAGCTAGGAGTGACCAGTCTCTCACCAGAGATGCGTTACAGGGAGACCAATCTCCCTCACACACCAAATCCAAGTCCTGGCCAAGAGTTCCTACAGCGTGAAGGGAATCTCGTACCATGTTTCTTGTTGTAGTAAAATACCCTGACGTCATCTAACCACGTTCTTCTGAAATCTGAGAGAGAATCAGGCATGTGTGTGTGTGTGTATATGCGCAGACTCACGCGCTGAGGGCAATAACTTTGAAGGAGGGAGGCAGTGATTTTAGCCATCTTGGCAGGGCGCACTGGAACTTGTTTCTCAGCACTCTTGAGATATGGTCTGCGCTGGAAAGGGCTTGCAAACTTTCTGACAAGCTCTTGAAATATGAAAAGACAGGTCAGAGTGCTTTTGCTGGCACAGATTGTATCAGTTCCGCAGGCAAAATGTTATTGGCAAAAACAACTTTTTGACAGAGACACACGCCTATCCTAGGACCTCTGGCGATGAATCAATGTTATGAAGACTCATACCATTGACATTACTAGTATCTGCAGAGTTTCTAGTCCAGTAAAACCCACAGATTCCTATTTTTGGCCTCCGTTCTTCCAAAAAACACATTGCTGTACTCTTCCCACCCCTGGGAGAAAGAAACTTGGGTTACTGCAGGCAGAGGGTGGAGCGCTGCAATTTCTTGGGAGGAACGAGCTACGTTTCGGCTGCACTTTGAGCTCCCAAACACAGCTCCGTCCCCAAGGAAGCCTGCAAAAAGCCAAAATACTCCATAGCATTTCCAAAATATTCCATAGTAACTCATTAGGCTCCTCAGAGACCAGCAGCTGGATATTCTCCTCCAGCTATACAGACTGCGGAGCTACCGACCGCTCTCCAGATGACCTAGCGAGCAGCCCCGAGCAGATGAACAGCTTCCAAGTCAGCGCTCATGAGCATCCCTGCTCCTCGGAGCACGTCGGCATGATTTTGTTGGCAGGGCCTCCTTATGGAGGCTTCTCAAGTGACGTTCGCTGGATGGACGAAACGTTGAAATGTGTATGCTCAGAACGTGCACATGGAGGTCTTGCCTGATGTCAGACATACGGGTACATGTAGATGTGCAATCTTTCTTTGTAATCACACGTTACTGCCTAAGGCATATTAGCACACAGGATTAGCATGGACCAAATAAACAGAAGTGGTAGAATTCCTGAAACCGTGAAAAAGAACTACAGTAAACAGAAACACTATTGAAGAGAAATACTGCACGTAATCGAGAGGATTTTGCCAAGATAAGGAGGGCTGCAACAAAGGGCAATGTACTAATATTAAAATACAAGTGCTGCATATCAGGAAAATATTCCCAACTGGGATGCAAGAACGGAGAGAAGTCACCACGAACACAAGACATCTGTACTTCTACAGCTCAGTGTGCAGAGAAACAAGTCCGTTACCTTTACTTAGATGTTAAACCAGACAGAAAGATTCTTTGATCTGCAACATAGGGGTTGATACATCCTGATTGACAGGAAATACCCCCAAGGCCAAGAGCATCTTGGAGGAAGCGGATGGATGCAGGGAAAGGCCATCTGTACAATTACATCCACCCAGAGAGGGGGAACAACCCACAAGAACTTGCAGCGTGCCGAGTCCACCCCGCTTTATTCATTTGACCAGAGCTTAATCTGTGCCTGTTTTAATCTATGTCTGTTCCAATCTAATCTGAGTGGAGAATTCTATATATATATATATATATATATATATATATATATGTATGTATGTATGTATATATGTATGTAAAATGCAGCAGACTTTTGGCTAGGAGATTAAATTTTGATTATATGTGAGTTGAAAGCGCAGGAAATCGTGTGCAATAAAGCCCTCAAATCCTGCCTTGGTCTCCCTCCAGCACAGAGCCTCTCGGCATCCTTTTTTTTCCCCCTCCTTTCTCAAGATGCAGCAAAACTGAAGGGAAAACTAGTTGTAAAAAGCAACGGGTAAGCACGGCAGCGCAAACACACTGTTATTTAATGTGCACTCCTAAGTTATCTTTTATAGAGGAGAGCTAAAAAATTAAAAACTCTTTATTTCATTAAGAATGAAATATTTTTTAAAAAAGTTAATTATCTGCATGGCAGTGCATGCAAAAGAGACCGGATTGTTCCCGTGCCCCCTGCAAAATACCTGCTTTGGAAGTGCTGGAATAAATCACTGCAGTGAAGGAAAAGCCTCTGGACTCATTCGCTTCCTTCCCAGATGGGGCTGGATAAGCTGCAGGACTTGATCTGCCAGAGCTTGTTATCCCACAACTTTTCCCAGCGAGGCAGATGACGGCCTTGTTTATGCACAAAAACTCCCAGAATAAAGTGGGAAATCAGTGAAAAAATAGTTCTTCTGGAGGAGCTATGTGTGGGAATACTTACTGCCATGCAAGGCTATGTGGGCATTATAAATTGCTCCGGAATACCTCACTTAATACCCACTACTCTTATTTTAAAGTGACATATGCTGGTTTTTGATGGAATCAATAGCCAACCATTCCTCATTTTCTCTGTGAATGTAGTTTTCCCCCAAATTCAAGATAGAGAGCAGGAAGTGAGTTATTTTCATTTCTTTTTTCATTCTTTGCCTATTTCCCCAGCTCTTCCCTAAAAATATTACAGGCAAGTCCATTCCTAATACCTTCAACTGAAGCTTTCACAAACACAAGCTTAGAGGCAGTAAACCCATGGCTATAAATCATGGCTCTCTGGACTGCTAGCCACTTGACATCTGTGCAACAACACACTTCAAATTCAGGTGGACCCAAACATCCCAACCTCATCTCCAGCAGCAAAATTCAGAAATTAGGACAAAATACCCTATATTGAAAACCCACTGGGAAAAAAAAGAGAGTATTCACTTTCCAAAAATGACTTTAAACTAGGTCCTGGCCAACGTGCAACCATGCCGTCTAGACTACACTCATCAGGTTCTTGGTCACCCTTCATCCACAGACCCACGAGCGTCCTGGTGCCAGTGCCAGCTGCTGGGATGAAGTCAGAATAACGATGGCAGAAAAATGACATTCCTCATCGAGGAGAAAGAAAAATGCAATAAAAAAGTGGGTGATCAAACCCTACTGCACAACAGGGGCACCCAAGGTAGTTAAGACCTCCCTTGACTCCATCTGAAGACAAACGGGGCTTGGGAAGTGGTTTTCAAAGGCTGGAAGCGGCTGAGGAGCTCCTGGTGACCTCCTGCTGGCCAGGTGTCTCCAGCCAACCCCAGTGCACCGGACAGTGTCAAGCTGTGAATCAAGTTATCAATAGAAGACCAGCGTGTTAAGATGGTCTCGATGGTCTTCATGAGGCTCTAGGGGAGAGTGTCAAGATGGAAGATGCCAGTAGGTTATGAGCTCACAACATACATATGCATGTGTGCGTATATGTATATATAGATTTTTTTTTTGCCTTTCTTCCCCCAAAATCTAGGTAGAAAAAGAAGTGGTACACACATCCAGCATAAATACACACCATCCATGAACAGGTTTAGCACAGAGGCTATTTTTCACCATGCCATGGGATAAATGCAGGGGTTCCCACATACAGCCACCCCTGCTCTTCGTCCAGGACCCATTTAAGTTACAGACAGCTGCCAGCGGCACCTGTTTTCTGTTAAATCACCCTGTTTATCAGCAGTCACCATGCTCGAGCGTGTCGGAGCCACGC